AAGACAATATTTTAACTGGATCTCATTAGATTGTACTGGTGTACCTAATATGACTGGCGAGTGTAATGCCTCATACCCGGCTTCAAGTTTAGCTTTCGAGCCTCACCTAAGTGTTGAATAGTCTTATTGATACCCAAAGAAGTGTGTCGATGCGAAACAATGGCTCAAGATAAATATTGTCTGTGGTCGTCAAAAGACACGGTGAATTATAAGGGTTAGTCAATAACAATAGCCTGTGGGTTGGAGTTTACAGACGTCAGTCAGAGGCGAAGTGTTTGAAAGCAGTGCGTCATTTCTTTTCCTCTCCGCACTAGATAGACTGGTTCTCTTTGTGCTGATGTACAATCATGTTCACCTTTGTAATTAAATGAGCTGTTTACCGTTTACCATTATAAAACAGCACGTATGTTCTGACGCGAAAGCTTTTGGTACACAACTAATATATCCGTGTGGGCGTGTATATTCCAGGTCTACGCTGTGGGCGGTTACGATGGCCAAAGCCGCCTGAGCAGTGTGGAGTGTTATGACTCCTTCTCAAACCGCTGGACAGAGGTGGCGCCCTTGAAGGAGGCGGTCAGCTCGCCGGCTGTGGCCAGCTGTGCCAGCAAGCTCTTTGTCATAGGAGGAGGGCCCGACGACAATACCTGTTCAGACAAGGTGGGAAACAGATGTCTCCCTGCTTCAAACACACACTCTCGGACAAATAGGGATGACAGCCACTGTGCCTTTTTATCACGTCCATCGTATATTGTCAGGAGTATACCTATCAGGTCACAAACTCTATAAAAGTCTGTGTTATGCCATTTTGATTTTTTCTTGTCATTTTATTATGCAATCTGGGTTTAGTTAGAGAATTAAAGGAAATTTATTGTAAAACAAAACAAAAAAAAAAACATGCTGCTCCGGCTGTACTTTGGACATCCCTGCTTTATAGATTGTCAGTATACACCTAACGAGCTGCCCATGGTATGTTTCAAATTCATATTTGCATCTCTTGACTGTATGTCCCAGGTCCAGTGTTATGATCCAGAGACGGACACTTGGCTCCTCCGAGCTAACATCCCCATCGCCAAGCGCTGCATCACCGCCGTATCACTCAACAACCTCGTGTACGTGTGCGGCGGTCTCACCAGGTCCGTATTCTGCTACGACCCTGCAGAGGACTACTGGATGCATGTGGTACATACATTTGCAAAACAGGTAGGACATATTTGTGGCCATTTTAATTACTATTGCCTAAAGCTTGTTTACCTTGAACGTCGTGGATGCATTTAGTACCTGGAGCGGTTCAGAATCATTTTTTTTTAATGTAATAACATGATGACAAAAATAGGAATAGATAAGGCTTGCGTGCCTGAAGGTAATTGCTATGTTCCTGCGCGTAGGAGAGTTGCGGCATGTCGGTGTGTAACGGTAAGATCTTCATCCTGGGTGGCCGGGGCGAAAACGGCGAAGCAACGGACACCATCATGTGTTATGACCCAGCAACAGGCATCATCACAGGGGTGGCTGCGATGCCCCGTTGCATCTCTTACCACGGCTGCGTAACCATTCATCGCTTCAATGACAAGTACCATAGGCCATGATCAGAAACGTGCATGCACTTAGAGTGTCTGAGTACGCACACATAAACACACAATTCATTGCATCACAAGCATCAGTCAGTTAATTTATTTTCTCACAGTATCATGTAGCAACATGCTCTGGGCAAACAAAACAAAATGAACATCAACAGTCAAACATGGCCAACATGCAACATTTTGTTGTTATTAACAGCAGGTTTCCTAGAAAGTGTCCAAAGAACATCAAATAATGTTGCATCAGTTTTTTGTTTTTTTTTTGGATGCAGCATCCCTAAAAAGTTATTATACACTTTCTATTTCCTGTTTTCTCCCTGTTTTGTTTCAGGTATCATTCGGACAGCTGAGGCTTTGTTTGTTTTTGGAAGCACATCATTTCCTTGCCCATGGATGATCGATTGACTTTGGAACAATGTTGCAAAATTGCCGCCTAGCTTTTCTGTCGCTTACTGCAGTTCAGCGCTAATTTCAGAAGCTGTATGGTGACGACACTGCTCCAATGCATCGTGCACTTTGTGCTATGCTTTGCAAGTTTCCCGAAACAGGATCTGTTTTTTTGATTAACCATGCAACGGGTGACCTGCTCTTTTGCCCGCCAATGAAGACGCCTTTAGCGGGGGCCAAGGAAAGTTAGCATTGATAGCGTAAAATGTACGATGCATAGGAACATGGTGATGGCTAAAGCTTCTCAAACGGGCTCTACACTGCCGTGGGGGACAAAAATACTTGTTGCCAGGTGGCAATTTCGAAACCCGCCTCTTTTGTCAATTGGTGAGCCCCCGGCCAAGGATCTGCTAAAAAAGAGTTCAAAGCGTAAACTGTCAAATTCTGATGGCCTCATCTCATGCTGAGTGATACCTGAAATTAAATTATAAAAGGGAAGTGTATTGTGACTTGTGGAACACCCTATAAATAAATAATGTAATGTGAAAAAAAAACTTTTTATTTATTTTTGAAGCTAGGTCAGACAAAAACAGCAATGCTAATTTTGTTTCCAATGTACTTTTTTTCTCAAAGTGCTGCCGAGTTAAAAAACAAAAACAAACAAAAAAAAACATAAAAAACAATTCGGTAAAAAAATACCCTACCGTTGAATAACAATGAAAATGACTATGTGTAGTATTTTTTTGACAGCCTGCACTAATGTGCTTCAAATCAGAAATATATTTCCCTTCACCTGCAGGAATGATAGAAAACAAAAACAGATAGTACCAAGTTATGGCAATACTATTCACTTCCCTTTTTAGATAATGAAATTGAACTCCTTCCATTTCTTCCATGTACATTTACCTTTGCCACTTTGATTCACCTCCATATTTCTATCTAAGCTTTATTTTGCAATGTTGTCATTCATATTCATCTTATTACTGGTATTTGTTATTAAGATTATTGTACGAACTAGAAGTTGTGTGTGCGTGTTGTGTTTTTTGTTGTTGTTGTTTTTTTTTTTTTAATTCTTGTGTATACGTTTAACCAAGTGTGTTCTGATTGTTTAATAGCGTAGTGGGCAAGTGGGTGGTGTTGTAGATATAAAGAGTGGCCTTTTTGTAGATCAAACTCTCATCTAGAGTGTGCTCTGAATATGGGATGTGCCTGTACAGACACGGTTGCTGCGTGCGCGACTTTTACAACGCAGTTTGGATGGTGTTAGCGATATATGGCCGCTCCATGTTAACGAATGCTGCTTACACCTTTGCATTAAACGACACAAGATGTAACTCGGGTTAACCGTAGATACCTCCGTGTGTGTTTGTGGGTTTGCAAGTGGGAGGACATGTTTGAAGCACTACCCCTGACTTGAGGTCAGTAAAAAAATTTTGTTTCCTTTTTTTACGATAGGTGTTGATAGACAAGATGTTGCTGTGAACTTTTTGTTTTTTCTTGTATTGAAATGGATCTTCTTCCTATAACTGAGAGCCCCAATTGTGCACTTTGATAGAATCATGTTAAAAAGATAAATTGACAAAAAAATATTTTCTTGATTGTTTTTTTTTTTATTTTTTTTTATTACTGTATCAGTAAATATTATTTGCTTTCACATGAAACATGGAGGGGATTGTGTCGGACGCCTCTGTTTGGCCATATCATGCCACGGTTCAGATATGACAAAGACACGAGAGGGCAAAGTTCAGTGAAAGGACTTTAGAAAGATTATAATGTGAGAGCTTTGCTTTTGTTCAACATTTTTAGTGAAGAGGACATGGACAAAACATAATCAATCCAGCAATCAGTTTTTATCAAAGGAGGAAAAGCATCACAGGAGGCCAACCAGCCGGTAGGATATCGGTAGCAGAGGCTGTTTGAGAAGAAGTGTGTGTATGTGTGTGTCTGGGATTTCACTGAGTATTTACTCAAATGCGATACAGCACTTCCTCCAGTGTTGATTACTTTCATACATGTTTGCTTTAATAAGATTTATACTCATTTTGTGTTTATATTTTGTTGTGGAATTGTGTGTTTTTGACCCCATGTGCAAAAGGTATCAAGATTTGAGCTATTTTTTAAGAATTTATGTACTTAAGTAGAAACCAACTTGGGTAAATTGGATTTGATTCTGATGTCACCTTGTGTAAAATAATGTGCCTTTAAAGAATAAACCAGCAAGGGAATATTGATTTTCTTTTTATATGAACCATCACAAATGTATGTGTGATGCTATATTTTAAAATGTTGTTTGTAAGGATTCAATACATTGTTTTTGCAATCGTTGACTTGTTTACAATATCAATAAAGTTTTTTTTTCTTTCTGTACAAAATACAGTCTACTTTCTTGTTGCTCTTTATCTTTAAAAGAATACATTTGGATCTTGAAGACATTCAGCCCCATTCATCCATTTTCAGTCCAAAACAGTCAATATAACAATTTATAATAAAACAAAGCCAGCCAAAGAGACGAAGGCTGAAGCCGCATCTAGTACAGTAATTAAAAAGACAGTTATTCATTACATGGTGAAAAAAATTATGAAAACATTAAGAAATTACCTTTATTAAAATAATGAGTTTGTGTGTGGTAAACCACAATACACATTCATTACTTGACAATATAATAAAAATAAATTCTCTTTTTTAAAGATAGTATGTCAAATGAAAGAAAACATACATTCACCTGTTAGAATAAGAACCACACAAAAGGCACCATACTCATTATTTATTACATCACAATCATAAAAATACATCAAAAATATGTCTTTATAAAGCGTGTATATAAAATCAAAACAAATACAAAATAAATTCAACAACTACAGTATATTCCCTGTTAAATTAGTATAAGACAAAAAGTTACACTAGTACAGCGTACATTATTTATTACAAACACCCGAATTTGTACAATAGCACCTTCTAGTGGAATTTGCGAAGAACTTCCAAGACTAGCTATCCGCAATTTAGCTTTCTTGCCCACATCGAGATTTAGCAATTCCCCCCCACACCCCCAAACACGAGTGTGAAAGATGGAAAGTGTAACAGTTAAACGGCCCGCAGCCATTGAATAAGAAGGAAGGCGCCGCAAAGGAACCTTCCTCCACACTCCAAGGCTTTAGAGTAAGTTTATATCGTAGCCTACAACGCGTTTGTGTCGTAAAACGCTGTGCTAGGTTTTGCTAGCATACTAGCACGGCGGTGCTACCTGCAAGAGCAACTACAATCAATTTGCCCAACTTTGAGCTGACGAGACATGGAAAGCGTGCTTTACGTTCACGTTTATAATGTGCCGCTGTGTACACTTCGTTGTGGAATTTCAGTCAAATCGGGACTAAACGTATGTGACATTGGAGCACCGGTATGATTTGTTTTAATTGAACACCTTTTTTTTTGGTGCTTCCTCAGGTGATAAAAAGAAAATCATGTCGGGAATTAAAAGGAAAATAGAAGATGGTGATCCCGACTACGAGGACGTTGCACTAGTCCAAAATAGTAAGCGAAACAAAGCTGCGGAGTTAAGTGGTAAGTTCTTTAAAGCCATACCTACACTGTACACCTGACTTTTGTCATGCATGTCTTGAGTAATTCGCTCTCGTTGCGTTTGAAAAAAATGTCGCCTGTCTCTCTTTATTAGCTCGAGATGCTACAGTCCAGAAGATAGAAGCCATAATCACTGAGCAGTTCTCCTTGGAGATGAAGAACAAAGAGCATGAAATAGATATTATTAGTCAGGTAAATACTCCTTGTATATTTTATGTTCTTTCCCTTTCTGCTTAACTTTGTTCCGGGGTCACCTCCCCATTTCTCCCCACCCTCTGCATCTTCTGCTTGAACTCTTTTCTTCACCACATCATGAATATCACTTTTGGTCTTCATCTTTGCCACCTACCTGACAGCTCGAGTTCCAGCATCCTTTTAACCATGCATCTTTTAATTTCATTATAAACATTTATAGGTGCATCTCTAGATTTATGATAAAAAAGCTCATATCTGCCAATCAAATGGTCAGGATCAACTATAGATGATGTCACCAAAATCTAAATCTTCTGTCTTCTGGTCATTGCCACAATCTCCAAACCATACAACATGGCAGGTGTCACTACCGCCCTACAAAGCTTTTCCTTTCGCTTCAGGTGGTTCTTTTCTGTCACCCCTGACACGGTCTTTTACCTTCTTTATTCTTCCTATATTCTCTACAGTCGAGATTGTCCAATCGTCTCTAATTCTCACAGAAAAAAAATAAAATATAGAGCGATCATCTTTTTGTTTTTTAGCGACTCAATGAAGCCCGAAGGATGATGGACAAGTTGAGAGCGTGCATAGTGGCCAATTTCTATGCCAATGCTGGGATGACAAAGCTCCAGGAGGTAATTTCCTCAATTTTTAAAATCCAGTCTGCAGTCAACTTTTTTTTTTCCACACCACAATGTTTCTTTGTATGTTTGTAGAGCTCAAAGAGTGACTCCGGAGCACTCAACCATCCAGCCATCCGCCGATTCCTGGAGTTTCCCTCTCGTTCCTCTTCCCCTCTCAACCAGGGTTCCGAGACGCCTTCTCTGGCCCAGTCCGAGTCTGAATCTCTCTCGCAGCATGGAGACAGTACTGAAAAGGATGCTGAGGGAGCATGGAGAGAGGACAGCAGCAAGCATGAACGGAGACCTGGTCGCAACACTGGAAAGGTGGATACATGTCTTTGATGTATTTTTATTGTTATGTGATGGTTAAGGGCGAAAGTTTTTTGGGAGGTTCAATTGTGTTACATCAACCGCTAAGCCATAGGAAACAGGAATCTGTCATTATTGTTTTGAGCTATTTGCCTGTGTAACCTATTGTTCGCCGAATAGCATAAGTGCTTTAGAAAGTTAGAATATATTCTTCCTATTATTTGTTGAAGGACACTTTTGGTGTGCCGACAAAGTTGGGAAATGAGCAGAGGATGACGTGCCACACCCTAAGCGATGAGGCTTCCAGACTCTACGCAAAGAAGACAATCGTCGTGGGAAATGTTTCCAAGTATGTGATTTGGTGAACTACACAGTCCTTAAGTTTCTCAGTTAGTGCACGTGCTTACAACGTAACGTTTCTCCCCACATCTCCTACGATATCACTTTTTATTTCAAAGGCTCCTCACATTGGCCCTCACATGCCAGTCACACGGTTGAAACGTCACCAATGCACTTGCTCACCCAAAATATTTTTCTTCACTCAGTAACTCACTCTTTTTACACCCAAAAAAGGACAAGGACATGGAATTTTTTTTAAATTAATGATCTCTATCTTGGTCTCATTTTTGTTTTTACATCACAAAAATCTGGCTTTTGTGCATGGGTGTTCAGACTTTGTATATCCGCTGCAATGTACAGACACAAATACGTATATAAACGCTTGAAGTTTCTATATATAAAAATTTTTACTGGATTTTTGACCCCCACCCCTTGTGCCCCCCCTGCCCCCACTCCCTCTTAGATACATTCCTCCTGATAAGCGGGAGGAGAACGACCAGTCGACTCATAAGTGGATGGTGTACGTCAGGGGCTCCAGGAAGGAGCCCAGCATCGACCACTTTGTCAAGAAAGTCTGGTTCTTCTTGCACCCCAGCTATAAACCCAATGACCTGGTGGAAGTCAGGTTAGTGCCGATCAGCGCTCGCTTGATGTTTTTTTTATTTATTTATTTATTCCTTTTTCAAGCGGTTGCCTCAGGCAGCTCAGGACGAAACATACTTGTTCCAATTAAGGTTTGCTGCCGCGTCACGCCCTTGTGTGTCTACAGGGAATACTGTGTTGCAATGTGAAATCATTATTCTGGGTCATTAGTTTGTGTCCCCCCCTCCCCCCTCAATTTTCCTAATCTCCCCAGCTAACCTGAAGGAACTAGGAAAACGAGATGCTTACTAAGAAATAGCCTCTGCGACAGTCAGGTGTTCATTGGAGGATCCCCTGCTATGAAAAAAATTAACACATCAGCAGAATCATGACGTTGGATGGTTATGTGGTACTTGATGATGAATGTATCTTCTCCATTCTCACAAGTTCAATTACAGCTCAGTGCTGTTCCACCACCAGCCTTTTCCCGTTTGACACTACAAACAAAAAAAGTCCACGCGGGCTGCGTGGGCGAGTGTTGTCACGCCGCTCAGTATGACTCAAAGTGGGCACACCTTCTCATGTACTTGTTGTGCAGTCACCGAAGAATAACATGCAAATTTAGGGCATGTCTAAACTCAAATGACGGAGCTTTGTAACAGGAGATCTGTGTCGCACACAAATATTCAGTGGAGCCTCTTTTGTTAAACGCCGGTTGGAGTTGTCCGAATGAGAATTCAACCCGGGTTTCCTGGAACACTCTGTTTGCGAAGTCAATGATGAAGTTCAAACGGTAGCCATCGTGTGTGAAGCGATGTGAGATGTCAAGTCAAAACTTGAATTTACCGTGGCAGAGATGTCAGCAATGCGATTTGTCTGCCACGCTGAACTCCATGCACTTTCAAATATTAGAATGATTCAGAAGTCATCCAGTGTTATGGAACAGGCTGCGTTGACTGAGATGGAAGTTCGTTCACACGATGAAAACGTTTTACTTAATTTTGAAGCACTCCCTCTATCAGACCTACGGAGCTGCTATGAGTCACCAGTGGACAAACATGTCAAATAACCACTCCCATTCACGTGTTCTGTGTGTTCCCCGGAGGTTCAGTCTCTTGGTAATGATGACTAAAAGTTCCAAGTAGAGAGCAGTGAGTCACGCAAAATTAAAAAAAAAGCAGTAATTATTTTAGAAAACAAAGGATTACATGATAGCTTTGTCATATGAGACACGAGATGCTTTTTGCATGAAAAGCACACCGCAGGCTTTTCTCTGTGTCCTTGTCATGTGTTTCAGATCAACTCAACCGAACTTTGGAATGAATACTTGCCGTTTGTTTGTCTTATGTCTTTATCACATGCTTTTGTTGTGGTGATTGATCTCGGGCAGACAAAATCACCTTGGGAATTTTGGAATGACTTGCAGAGTCACAATGCCACATCCGTTCACCCAAGAATACTCTGACATTGTCAATTGTTCAGTTAGAGACTATGGCGCACCTGATCTAGGTTGAGGATTTTATTGTCCATGTGGCTTTTTAATAAACGATCTATTTTCTATGCCAGCAATCGAAATCCAACTGGATTGTTCAGCTGATAAGGTTTTTCCCTTGCCATGGGACTGTGGAGCATAAGCTCTACTGTCTGATTCAAGTTTTCTGACACATGCAATGCTCCCTCTTGGCATCATTGCAGGAAATAGTATATGATGTAGTATTTAATAACAACAAAAAATAAATGAAGCATGTTTTTACAATTTGTACATTTGAATGACCTTGCTTCTATTCTCAGTGAGCCTCCATTTCATTTAACCCGTCGTGGGTGGGGTGAGTTTCCTGTCAGGATCCAGATCCACTTCAAAGACCATCGCAACAAACGTATCGACATCATCCATCAATTGAAAGTAAGTCCATGTCATCGTTAAATTCATAAATGAGATTTGACCTTCTTAACTCATTCAGTACCAGCCAATTCTAGACCAAATTTGAAAAGACGTTGAAAAACGTCTTTGGGAGTGAATGAGTTTTAAGTGGGCTGATTGTCTTTGTGTTTTATTTTCTTGCAGCTTGACCGAACTTACACTGGGCTGCAAACACTGGGGGCAGAGACGGTAAGATCAACGTATTTTTTTCATAATGTTTATTTGATTCAGAAACTATTTACCGGCTATTTTTTGTTCCAGGTGGTGGATGTGGAGCTCCAAAGGAATTCTCTTGGTGAAGAATTTCCATTGCAGCCATCTTCCTCCAAGGTGACCCACAGAGCGAACAGCCCAATGACGGTCACCTCTCAGCCTTGCGGACATTCCAGTCCGCCCATCTCGTATGATTCCAGTTTGGACAAAGGTAACCCTAAATGAACATTGATTCAATATAATAAGTAATCATCCCACATCTTCCAAAGCCTATAAAAATACAAACATGAAATTCTTTCTTTGAACTTTGTCCCAGCTTCAGTCAAAGCAGAGACGGGCAGGTCAGCGGGGGGTCACCGCTCAAGCCTCACAGCGGGGGAACGCACACCGACACGACCTAAAGCCAGTGACAGGATCACTCTGGGTTGCCACGGCAACTCGGCCTTCCAGCCCATTACGGCAAGCTGCAAGATTGTTCCCCAAGGACAACCGCCGAGCCCCGCTGAGTCACCTGGGAAGACGTTCCAACCGATAACCATGAGCTGCAAAATAGTCTCAGGTACCTGCCGTCACCTGGTGGTCATTTCCTTCACCGACAAGGGGAATGGGTGGAGATGGTTTCTGATTCTGCTCCACTTTAAATGTCAAGCTTGGAAACAACTTAACTGATTAACTGACGATTTTTCTCTTTTGTAAAGTTGAACAAATACTAAAGGACAAAGTGACGTAAAACAGTCAAATGTTCGACATGTAACACATCTTTCCTGTTGGAAGTATAAATGGATCAAAAAAATATATATCATTTTAAAAATTAATCAGTCGATTAATCGGTTATCGGGATTTTATTCTGCCAAAGGTCGGGCCCTAATTTTGTGTACATGTCATCTTTACTGTACATTGTAGCCGCAATTAAATCAACCCCATGTCATATCTGGGGCTTTGCAATTAATTACACACCATCAAAAAATGGTATATCCAAACAGCTGGTCCATTGCGCTCTCTCCGTCGCACAGGTTCTCCAATCTCCACGCCAAGCCACTCACCGCTGCCTCGCACGCCCACCTCCTCCACTCCTGTCCACAGCAAACAGAGTTCGTCCTCGGTGCTCAACAACCCTTACGTTATCGTGGACAAGCCGGGCCAAGTGACCGGTGTGGCGTCCTCGTCGGCCGCCTCCGCAGGTAAGCGCGTCACTTCCTGCTTGCTGTGAAGTAAACCCACAGAAGCGGTGTCTGGCCGCCCACACACCCAAGTTAAAAATGGCCGTGTTTTACTGTGCTCTAAGGCAGAACATTTGGTAACTATGACCCTCCAGTGTCCCTTTTTTCTTTCCCCTTTTTATCTCTGTACATCCTCTGTCCTCTTTCACCATCACAAATTTAGACTGCAAGCACTCCCACTCTTTTTTTTTTTTTTTTCCATGCCTCGTTGCAACCGTTGCCATTCGAAAAGTGTGATGAGGCAGCAGGACGGATGCGGGATGAGTGGTTGCCATGGTGACCGGATTGTGTTTCATCTGAGGAGGATGGTGAAAATTGGAAACATATTCAGTATTCCTCGCCTGCTGACAAAGATGTGTAGTTTTTAGCCGATACGCTATATTCTCACCAACACGTCCGCCTTGCAACGAACTTGAAAATTCTTTCACCAAGATAGCTCCCCCCCCCCCCCAAAAGCTTGTGTGGCTGATGTGGGTGTTGCGAAACTTAATGCCGTAGGTGAGGATATAACAACACCAGCTCAAAGATGCTCTATCAGGAAAATGCACTCTTGACAACATAGTTGGCTAAAAGTCTTTGAAGCAGATGTCAGGAACTGCATCCTCTGCCATGGCTCTCATGACTTCGTCCGTTTATGTGGACATTACTCCGCAGGAAGTCCCTCGGCCAAACAATCTGCTGCTCAGGGAACCCGCTCTCCAGCTCCCAAAGTTCACACAGGCACGTTCCTCTCATCTGGAATGAAAGTGAGTTGAATATTGATTGTTTTAAGAATGTTGGGACCTTAAATTCACCCCATACATTCATTTGTCAAACAGTCTTACCATAGCTTTATTTTTTTGTCTTTTCTTTCAATTCTTATTCATGTATTTTTTTTTTTTTATTCAAGCAGTCTAAGTCAATGTTTCTTAACCATAATTGAGCCAAGGCTCAATCACCGTCTTCCAAATTATTATGCACATGATGTTTTTTTTTCTCTATGTTCATTCATCTATGCACATCTCATATGAAAGCAAATGAAACATCGTATAGATAGACTGTTTAGAAAAATCTGAGAAAAACAACACTTTTAAAATTCAGGTTTTACCCCAGCAACATGAAACTCAGATCAAGTCAAATGCGAGACTTGATTTTTATGTCTTTGTGATATCTTACTAGAGGTCTAAAAATTGCAACCCGTAGAATGGGTACACCTAAATGCTTCCTGCATGTGTTTCCTTACAGGTTATCATTAAGCAAGAGCCAGGGGAAGTATCAACACAGCAGCAGCAGCAGCAACAGCAGATGGCTTCGACAGTAACTACCCAACAGCAACCAGCTGCCACAGCGTCACATCAATTTGTTTCAGTCAAAGGAGGACACATGATCTCCATGTCAGCTCAGAAACAGACGGGAGGAGGTTCAGGGGCTGCAACAAACAAGGTCGGTCTGTCTTACAAGGTCATTTTAGTGTCACCCAAAAAGTTGGGGGTATCGGGCATTTGGGTCAAATATCAGGATGTACCAAAAATCTCCTATAGCCTTTACAGGTCACCTTTTACAATTTTCACCCTCTGAGTAGAAGGAGGGCAAGCACCTGAATGGTAAAATTTACACCCAGTGTTTCATGCATGAATCAACCAATAAATGTGTTAGTTTAATTCACATTGATATTGAAACAATCTTTTTTTTATCATCCTGTACACATTTTGACATCAAACACCAAGATGAGGCCAAACTAAGTATCAACAATACTTTGCTCCAACCCTTTTCAGCAGCAAGTGGTCACTGAGTTTAGTGTCTCACAGTGTAATCAGCAGGTTGTAACGGAGAGACTGGAAGAGCCACAGAAAGGTATCGAAGTGGACTTCCTTGGAAATGTATTGTGTCAATACATGGTTAGTGAACACTGTCTCCCCAAAAAGTACTGAAACATTGATTTGGACATTCAAAAGTTTAACGGTCAAATTAAATTCATCTGTAATGGTCAGAGCACATTTCATGTTTATCCTGGAATTTTACCCAAAAGCTGAATATCCCTGTATACACAGTATATGGTATACATTATGTTGTTGGACGCTCATGTGGAACTCTTCCTGTGACTAGATGTTAGGTATTCCAGTGAGTTCAACGCTGCAGTCTGCAGTGAAGCAGGTGGCCATCAGCAGTGGGCAGATTCTGGTTGCCAAGGGGAACCCCTCCGTCTCTAAGGTGGTGGGTGGGAAGCAGGTTTTGGCACAGGGGGTAGCAAAAGCCATAGTCAGCGGAACGAGTGGCATCTCCGGTCAACAGGTTACCGCCAAGGCAGGCGGGGGTTCAGGTGGCAAGACTGGAGGTCAGAGTTCACTCTGGTGCACAAATTCCCTCTTCGGTTTATCACCGTGTGTGAATCGTCTTCTGCGTATTTTGCATGTAGTGATGGCTACTCTTCAACTGCCTGCTAACAACCTGGCTAATCTTGCCAATTTGCCTCCGGGCACGAAGCTCTACCTTACCACCAACAGCAAGAACCCCTCAGGGAAGGGCAAGCTGCTTCTCATCCCACAGGGAGCCATCCTCCGAGCCTCCAATGCAGGTTAGACACCATTTGTCCTATTTTTACTGCTGTGCAATGCAGAAATTTACAACATCGCCTTAGTTTTGTTACTCACGTTCTCCTACAAGTTTGTGATAAATAGTGTTTTGAAGCGACACACTATGGTGTTCGTTTCCCATTGCAGATGTGAGACACTTCTCTCTCATTGAGAATTAATTTTCTCAGCTGATGAAACTCAAGAGTTTGTTCCTGAAATCTTGTGCAATTCTTCACTTTTATTCAACCGGACTACTGATTAGGCAAGCCCCGCTGTTAGGATTCAATGCAAGAACTTTTTCAGATTCTACTTTTACAATATCTCAGGCAACATTATCGTTCTGACGATTTATATTTTTTGATTGGATCATCATAGCTAAATCATGACTTACGCAGTCATTCTAAATATGGCGAAGAAAGCTGATTCTTTCTGTATGGTTTTATCATGTACAAAGTAAGTTCTGTAAGTTTTTTTTTTTTTTTTTAATGAATGTTTCAAAAGTAATGCCAGGTCAACTACAAAGTGCAAGTTCATGAAAAGGACGAGAGAACAATGGGCACAGCAACAGCCAGATCAACAACAGTAATGCTCTCATGATGACATCAATCTAAAATTGCTGAGTCAGTATCCAGGGTTAGCATCCTGGCCAAAAGCATTTTACCCTGACATTTCCTACATGCCCTCCGCCCCTGTATTAAATCAGTCACTGTTAGTCAAGGTTAGACCAGTTATCCTTGAGGAAACAACTTCCCGACCGCTTCTACTGGGTATTTTGGTGGCAGCTCCAGATTCAGATAGCTTTTCATTTCCCCTGGACTTTGAGTCATCCGTGATCTGTTCACCCCCCCCCCCTCCCCATTGCAAACTAGAGGCTTCACACTGCACAAGAAAGAAAGAAAAAAGTTTTTGATGAAAAGTATTGGGACAATTCTCAACGAGATTTGTGCCTGGTGTGTCCCTGTCTAATTAAGGTCAGCAGTCTCAGAGCAGCTCGTCAGCGGGCGCAGGGGGCACGCAGACTTCTTCAACTTCCTCATCCAGCAGTTTGCCTTCCAACCTGTCATACACATCATACATCCTGAAACAGACCCCTCAGGTGGGTACAATTATTATGCAAACTTTAGACATGTTACATACTATGCTCAACGGTACTATTCCATTTTATATTTGAATCAAACGTGTTGGGAGACTCATTCTATGAATGTCTGACATCTTTTAGATACTGCAGGTAGGGATGTGCTTTTAATACAGTGGCAGGACATGCAACATTCATTTCCATCCTCTCTGATATTTTATTCTAGTCCATGGATGGAGACTTTCTAAATCCTTGAAGCAGCACTTAACCAGTAGCCACTTTTAGAACTGTTTTAGAACAGTGCTACCTTTGCATTGAGCCATCAAATCCACAGTTCACAGATCTCAGAACTGCTATCGGCTCAGTCAGTGGGCTGAGGAAACGTATCACTTATTGATAACAAAACGATGTTTTTGGTGCCTTCGCATGTCTATTTTTAGGGCACATTTCTAGTGGGCCAGTCATCTCACGGGTCAGGGAAGCAGGGGAGTTCTGGTGCGGCGGCACATGCTACGTCATCTCCATCGACCGCTCCTCAGCAGGCCATCAGAGTCACAGCTGGACAGAAAGCTGCCATTCTGGCTCAGGTCGGAAACTCCTCTCTACCTTCTTGATCGCGGTCAAAACTTTTGTTGCATCTACCTTCCCTCCTTATTAAACTGAATGTGTAAAGTACAGGATATAATGAACCCCCATTTATCACAGAGGATATTTTCTGACCCACACACAAAGTGACACATAAAACACAGACAGAGAGAGAGAGAGAGAGAGAGAGAGAGAGAGAGAGAGAGAGAGAAAGACCCCCCAAAAAATCTGTGAGGTAGCAGGAGAGCCCTTGACTGCAGGAAAACGTAATATTTGTGTTACAACAAACATCAGATGGTTGGCGGTTCCCAGAGCGCTCAAGTGAAGTTATCGGACGGCTCTGTGAAGACGGTGACCACAGCAGGCCACTTGTCCAAGCCCGGGATGACTACACTGAGAATGACCGGCGGCGTCATCACTGCCGCTAGCTCCACTCCCACCTCAGTCAGCACTGTGGCAGCTGGCAACCAGCAGCAGGTTAGTTTCTTGCGTCGTTTCCTTTCTTCCACTTGCATCAGCAAGCAACAGGCACAGTCAAAGTGCAGATATATGAAGTGACATGCTTGAATTTGAAAAAAACAAAAAGAAAGAAAGAAAAATGTAATTCCCTTCTGGAAGTGCAGAAATTGTTCATGTGTGAAAAGCCGGGTTGTGGTGATTCAACATGAGCAAATGGAAAGACTTCATTAACTTAAAATCTAAAGCCAGCACCAAGTCCCAGTGGCTTCGGCACAAAAGAAACACTTTCTGATACACAAAAGGATCACTCAGCAGCTCTTTCCTTTTGGCATAGTTAATGAAATTGTGTAAACTCTCTGAGACGAATGAACAAATGCTTTCTGTGTTTGATGCAGGCTTCTGATGGTCCGAAGTCTGCCTCGCAGTACCACTCTCTCCTAATGGCAGCCAATCAAGCAGCGGTGATCAACGCGGCTAAGAGCGCCAGTGCTGCAGCAGGCGGCGGTTTGTCCAAGACCGCCATGGCCACCTTAGTCAAAGGTGCCGCAAACTCTGCCGCACTGGCCAAAAGTGCTCCTGGTTCAGCTGCTGCTCCGGTAAACGTCACCAAAGGCGTTGCCAGCATGCCTGTTGTCAGCATGGCAAAGGGCGCGGGTGCTGTGGTGCCGAAAAGCGGGAGCGCGTCACTGGTCACCGCCGCATCACTGGTCAGTGGGATGGCGACGGGAGGAGGAAAGACTACTTCAACCATATCAGGTAGGCTGAAATGAGCTCCCTAAATATGATCATGTTGATATCACCAAAGTGCTTTTCGTATGAAAACAGGCATGCTGAAAATCCACTCTGGAGGTTCCAACTCACAGCAGACCGTCTTGACAATCCCTGCTAACCAGTTCAAGCAGCTTGGGGTGGCCAGTGGGTCAGGACCAATGCAGACTATACTCATGCCTCTTAGCAAAGGTAAGATGCCTTCTGAAAGTGAGTTTTACGTACACGCTTCCTCAAAGGCTTCTTCTGGAAATGTTTTTGTCTTCCACTAACACTTCCAATTCCATCACTTGATACTTCATTTTGCACTCGGCGATGTGTTACATCATCAAAACATGTCAGAGCTTCCCAAAGCACAAAACACTCTTTCAATGACAGCCGTTATTCCCTCCTTCACACCGGTTGCCAACAGCAAATGTCCCTGTCATCTGATACAAAAGAATAGTGCCCGGTCATGTGTGTGTTGTACTATCACAACATTAAGTTAAATGGGATGCAGTAAAATTCAACATCATAACAAATTTCAACCACAACAGTAAATATACGCTGAAATTATATGGCTGAATATTTCTGTAAATATCCTACTACATCCTGTACTCCAGACTTATCAATGTTAGAGAAGGTGTGTTCGATGAATGACACTTGCTTTTCCATTGCCACAGTGAAGACGGAGCCGTGTGCTGGCACAGCAGTTACAGCCGGTCCGTCACCCCCGGGCCCCATCCCCACATCTGTCCACGTTCTGTCTGCAGCTACCACGGTCAAGCAGGAGCAAGGCGCAGATCATTCTACGCATGACCTCATCAAGTATGGATGGCTGCTGCTTCTGTTACACTCACAGTGAATTAAAAAAAATCAGATATAAAATAAATGTCTGTGTACATGCATGCATGTACACATCAGAATGGAAAAGATGATCTCTACTAATGAGTCAATAATGAATTGCTCTTTCCTCAGCACGGAGCACATAGAGACCATGATGCAGCTGCTGACAGCTGTGGTCAAGAAGTTCCCGCTCATTGTGCCAGATAAGTGTAAGTGAGCGTTAACATTTGGCTGAATTAGACGCTGCGCACGAAATATGCAAACGGCTAGGGCGGTCATTCGAGTTGACATTTGAGTCTACGTTTCTTCCCATTTAGCTGAAGACTCGCATCCGTTCTGTGCCTCTTCAACAGAACAGTATTATTCTTGGAATATTGGAAAACGGAGGGCATCAGAGGTAAGTTGCTATTTTCCAGCCTGGTCATTTTCCAATGATTTTGCAATCCCTTACTTAAACCCTGCAGCACCTACAGCTTAGTAAACAGCAGTTTCTAATAAAGCAGGAACTGAACCATGTCATATTTTAGGGTCATTCCACCATTTGCCACGCCGCACACCCTGAGTCAGCTCGCTTTCTGCTTGCGTCATGTCTTCACATCTACTCAGATGTGTGTATCTGCCTTGCCTCTTAATTGTTTCATCGATCCCATGCTGTAGCACTCTCTGCCTCCGAAAATGCCTTTCACACGAGCCCAGAAGGGAATATTTAATTGACAAATTTACTTAAAATGTACTCAGAGCGCATCCTCAGCAGGTCAAGGCAAAGTTCACGGAATAGATTAAATGTTGCCGTTCATAAATGTTGATGAATAAATGTTTTTTTTTTAATTCAAACAGTTTGCTTGTTTGTACAGAAAAAATGCAAATAAAAGATTTTAATTTCATTCTCCAAATACAAAAGAAAAAAATATTGGGGCGTGATGTCATATTCTGTTTAATTTAATATGTTTATGGCTTTAAAGTAAATTTTGCACAGAATACAAATTCTTTGAGATGCTTAAAAACAGCTATAAAGTACTAGAAAAGCTTTAAATTTGAATTATTTGTTTGAATGAACCCATGATGGATGCTCTAGTTAATTGTCGGTCAAAACTTTGAATTGCAATTTAAAATAAATAAGATGTACACTGCACATATGTCTGTTCGTAGCTTCAGCGAGCGGTGGCCGTCAAGCGAACCATCCAGAATGTGTTGGATCACGCACCTCGCCTCCAGGCTCTGACGCCCCCAAAGACCAGAGAGGTAGTTCAGTGGTGTCGGCAAAGGGGCTACACCCCGCCCGACCCTGAACCCCAGCACAAGAATGACGACGAGTCCATAGAGGACGTCCTCACGCAGATTGACAGCGAGCCAGGTATGTGTGCCTGGAATGTATTTGTTGCTTCTCTGTCTTTTTTTTAAATAATTTCAACAGTGCATATACCATGAACTGGGAAGCCTTTTTATGTTTAAAACAACTGGGTTAGAGCATTTATACGAGGGAATCTATCCGCAGAGTGTCCCACCACGCTGAGCAGCAGTGACGAACTGGTGCTGCGGTTGGAGCAGATGCAAGCCCTCCTGAAGACCGAACCGGAGGAGGCCGACGACGAGATCATAGACATCGTCACTGTGACACCGCCGCCAAAACTCAAGGTCAAGGAGGAGGAGCCGGAGGCCGACACGGAGCCCAAGTTCTTCTTGGGGCCTTGCATGGCGGCCCAGTTTGTCGATGAAGCAGCTCAGCAGGTTCGGAACATCTTGAACTGAAAACTGTTTCTCTCAGCGTGAAACGTCGAGCTAAATCGACAATGCCGTGAGCCTTTTCCGACTTACATACACGGGAGAATATAACCGAAAGACCTGAATTTATCTCTCTCAGATTGGGATCACCTTCCAGCCAGTGGAGGTGGAGAAGAACCTCTTTGCTCCGGTGATCGAAGACATGATTGTGAAGGTCAGTCACATGTTACTGCAGAGCCTCCATTTTCCTGCACTCTACTCGGATTGAAGAGATGAATTATACAGTGTGCCCCCCCACAGTGCTGCACGCTTCACCTTGTGCTTTGCAGAGCCGTGTGTTCTTTCTTCTCGTGACTTAACGCGTGTGGATGTGTTTGTACACTGCAGGCAACACAGCAGTTGGCCAGTGACATCCTGAGAGAAGCTCTGGCTGGTGCCTTCGCCAAATCCCCTCACAACAGGTCAGTTCAAGTATAACACGCAACCTGCTCCATCCTCCATGTGCAGGACGTGTCGTATTCTGAATGCGTTAATGTGGTTCCGAATTTTTTTTTTTACTTATTAGTATTTTTTTATATTTTAAAAGAGCTCTCAGCTGTCTTCATGAAACAGTATTGCTGTGACACTTTCATCAAAATGTCCCAAGAAACAAGAAATAATCAGATTTACATGAGCCATAGCTTGGGGATCTTGCAAAACCGCTTATTTTCCAGGGCTCCAAGAGAAATCACAGCCATGAACATCCACCAAGCCATCTGTAGCATCCCAACCTGTGACTTCCTCACCAATGCGCACATGGGCTACCTGGCCAAGGACAACTGAGGCCGGACACAAACCGGGACCTCGCCAAGATGACATGTACTGAACACTAACAACGAAGAGGTAGTCTGCCGAATCCCACATTCCCGCCACAAAGGTCCTCTCCCTTAATGATCTCATTGACTTGATCACTGAAGGGCTTACCACCTCGCTGCTCCTCGACGCCACAGCAGTGCTCCCGGTGGAGTCAAGTGGCTCTTTTTGTTTTCCACGGATAGTTGCACTCTCACTTACCTCATCACCAGATTATTTTTGTAGAATGAAATGAATGAATTTCCTGTCACAAAGCCTGCTCACGGAAACGAAGCCCGGGCCAACGCAGCCATCGACTGACACTACTTTATGGATTCCAATTCTGATTATTCACCTTCCTAGTCCGTGCCCTCCCTTGAACACGGATGGGAAAGCAAATCTGCTGTTGCCGTGGTAACCAAGGATCCGCCATGAGGAGCATCCTTTCATGTAGTACTGTATGCCGTGTTACCCTGCGGTGGTAATTATGCTCACGCGATTGTGCGGGTTTTATTCACGTGCCGCGTTCCAAACCTTTTCATTCCCAACATGAGCGCATAAATTGCTATGGTTCCTAATCTGTTGACCTAATTATTTTTACGACGGTGTGTGTTGTAGTCACCAATCTCAGTATTTATATCAGTCAACTCATGTTGTACGCTCTTTGTGATCAATGTGAAATAGATGCGGTTTGCAAGTCTGTTTTATATTTTTATCCAGGATCATACGCTGACAACGGTGTGTGTGAGTGGGTGCATGTGTGAGGTCCGTGAACGTGTCATCGACAAATACTGTGTTAGTAATGACGTTTAGTCTACAACTTTGCATTTTGTGTGAGTGTCTTACTGAACAAGTGTTGGTCTGAGTGGATGTTGAGGCTATTGAACCAAACGAGAGTAGACAATACCCCCCAATGTTGTTTTTTTCATGTTTCAGTGAAAACCAAAAAATATGATCAATATTCTTGTAATAAAAAACAACAAAGCCCAAGCAAGTCTCGTCAAATTCAGACACACCAAAAAATTGCCCACACTGCACATCTTTTTCCTACTAACACACACGCACACACTTCATTTCAGGTTACTTTAATTGCAGGGAAAAAGTTTGGACATGATTTATTATTTTCACTTTTTTTTTTTTTTATATCGCAGAAACTTGTGGTTTTTTTTTTCCAATCACTGTATGGCTTTAATAACTGTTTACATTCATTCAATCAGCATTCATATTTTTACTATGAGCAATACTGAGAAAAAAATGCATCAGAGGAAAAGCGTTCGGAAACAGGTAATCCTTTTTATTTTATTCACCTCGTACTTAGATTCTTACAATAGATTTACAAAATCATACGTTTGAAATTAGTTTCCAAACAAGGGAAATAAATAACTAATTTTTAACGGCTAAAACCCAAGCAACATTAAGTGCACACACACTTTTTATACAGGAAACGCACACAGTTTCAGTTTCTTGGGCTGTAAAAACAAAACAAAAGCTAGTCACTCACATGCATATTCACTTGCGTAGCAACCAGAGCAGATTCTAAATGGGGAGGGGTCGCCATGTGATGTCATCATCTTTACTCTGCAGGGGTCACTCCTGACACATTCCCTTGCATAGATTTCCAAAGACATTCTTCTGTCCGATGTTAAAAGGCTCGTGATCCGCTTTGAAAAACGGCAGAAGGGTTTGGCGGCAACTTGGTCCGAACCAGATGTTCCTGCTGGAGAACACGGACACATTAAAATGAGACTGTTTTGCTGCCACCGCTGACAAGTCGGCCAGATTCTTTTTTTCTTCTAGCAATTATCAAATCCGTCGTAGTCAAATTGGGTCAGAGTTATTTTAAACTTCATTGCTGCAGTTTTTTTATGTGAGCATCAGAGAGCAAGTCTTTGGGCGGCATGGTGGGCTTGCTGTCCCGGAAGCCCTTGGGTGGGTGGTTGAGGGAAGGCATGATAAAAAGCAGGAGTGTGTGCGTGCGTGTGTGTAGTCACCCCCTCCCACACATATCCTGCCATCATTTGTGCTTTGAATGCAGCAGCCTGTTTGGTCTCTCTTCATACAGTCACGTTCCTCATCTATCGTACCGGTTCTCAAAATGTTTACAAAATTTTAAAAAAGTATAAAGTTAAATACAACTGAACTGTACTGTACAGTACTACATTAAAAAAAAACAACTTTAGGGCATTGAACATATAATTCAGTGATTCTTTTATTGACTGCTAGATGACGGCTGCGTACCGCTATTGTACTAGTGCTATTACAATGGTGCTTTGAGATACTAGTTTATGTCATTCCATGCATTTGTATCTCAAATTATCTTTCCCCTTTGAAATGAGAAGAAATGCTCTTGTTCCAGCCTCTTGCTTTTAACAAGGAAAACTAGCAGTCTAAGATTTTGTACTTCATCAAAACAGATTAATAATCTAAAAAAGAAATAAAAATTAAGCACTTTGTGCATCACGATTTTTTTGCTGTAATCCTATTCACCGTGCTGCTCCTTCTGATGTGCTCGCTTTGGCCACTGGGAGGCAGTGTAATAGTCATTCAGACACAAAACAAGAAGAATAGTACTTCTACTACGATGAAGTGACTCCGTAATCTTACTAATTTTCCCCAAAACAGTTTCCACTAAAGTAGTCGCATTAATGTCTTAATTAAAAGAAGAAAATACACCCAGCTTCGGATGATGAATTTTGATGAAAAGGTTTTTGTCCATTCAATGAGCACAAACTCAAATCCTTGTTTTGCCTTTCCCCTTTGCCAAATTGGCATGGGAAGCTTTTGTGTGATCGCAGGCAGCGTGGGAAAGGGGAAGAAGTCCAAGCCGGAGGAACAATGAGGACTGTAGATAGATGAAAAAAAAGCAGGACGATGGATAAAAATATAAAAGGAATGCTGCATAGTCCCACAAGCGTTCAGATTTTTTTTTTCTTCCCCCCCCAGAATGATTCACAGGGCATACGGAAACGAGTTCTGCTTGGAAACGGAGCCACCATGTTTGCAAGGGAAGCCGAGTTGTTTGTCACTCTGCATCCAAAATGAGTTCATTTGCAATTTGGTTTTGTCTCGCTCATGTCTGACACGGATGACACGGCCTGCGCATTCACAAATCTCTTTGCCTACGAAAAGCGGAAGGCGATGACCACACGGTGATGTTTTTTTTTTTTAACCCTTTCATGCACCCTGTAACATGATAACATGATAAGCTGTCCACTGTAGTAACCGCTGTTCCTGAAAGGGTTAAAGAATTATTCAATGTTTTTCCCTGTTATGGCCAATTTTCAGTGACTGAAAACGGACTTTTTGGACAGCATTATGAAGACATGAGTGTCTTTTTTTTTTTTTTTAATTTAGTCTTGTGTCAGTTGTGCCAGAATGTGTTCTGATGTTGAATTGAATTGAATGCATCCATTCATTTTCTATTCTGCTTCTCCTCATGAGGGTTGTAGGTGGAGCCTATCCTAGCTGACTAAGGTCAAGAGGGGTTGTGCATCCTGGATTGGTCGCCAGTCAATCGCAGGGATCATATGGACAAACAAGCATTCACGCTCATATTCACACTGAAAGCCAATTTAGAGTCTTCAATGAACCGAATTTGTTTTTGGAATGTGGAAGGGAACCTCATGCAAGCATGTGGTGAACATGTTGCACCAGAGATTCAAACCCGGAATCTCGTAACAGTGAAGCAGATGTACGAATCTAATCACCCCTTGTATTTGATGTTATTATACTTCAAAAGTTTAGATTTTCAAGACAAACTCACCGTGATTTATTTTCCTCAATTCACTTTTCTAGTTCTATTCTCTTTTCCAGAAAATGACTTTCTTCAGGCTTCTGATTGACAAGAGTTCATGGTGTAATCAGCAGGTTACAACAGAGAGACTGGGAGAGTCACAGAAAGTCATAGAAGTGGATTTGACATCCTGAAAGTAGGGCTACGGGATGGGTACACGCTTTGAAAATTTGTTTTGATGATTCACGGCCGCCTAATGTCTTTGTCATACAAGGTCAGATTTAATTGCAGCCACTCATTTGGGACATCATTTAAATTTATGCTTCATCTACTTGTCGTAAAGCAGTTTGGGGGAGGCCCTTTTCTGTTCAGCGTGAATCCTGACCGTGCCCCAGTAGGTGAGGAAGAACCCCATCAAAACAATTTGCAGATGAACTCCCGACACAGACTGTGAGCCAGTGAGAGCTGACCTCGCAAGCGTTCTGCCGATGATGAAGTAAGTGATAGATGCGGCCTCGTCGGCGCCGCTTACCCTCGCTAACCGGGCCGCTCCGATTAATAGAATGCGTGCCCCGCCGTTGAACTCCCCTCACTTCCATTCCGTCCCCCACAGCACTAACATTTGATTGAACATCACAGAGAGAATTATGCAGACCACCAAAGGGTCAAACATTTCAATCTTGTACTGTGGTGTGAGTTGCCAAATTTTCTGTAGATCGTTAACATAATAGCATGATTCCCCAAGTCTGTTCTCAAAACTTTTTACACCGAATACCACTTAGAAAAAAAAAATGTAACTCTCAGAGTACCACTGTTCGTAACGGTGGTTGACTATTCTTACCACTAAAGGGAGTCGGCATAGACGTAACCAGTGTGACTTGTACGACTTGGGTAATTATGCTGTTAGCCAAATGCCATGTAAAAAGATTCTTCACAGTTTTGTGTTGCCACAAACAGTGGGACAATGTGACGGCAGCCAGCCTGTCGGGGAGGGTGGGAGTTTTATCCCAATCTAATCTGGAACAATGTCCATGCTCTAATGAGTCGCCAGCTTGGCGCACAAATCCTGTCACCTTCTTATCCATTATTTCAGCTTTGTCTAGTTTTCAAATTTCAATTGGAGCACACACATCTGCTTCTTTAGGGTTTTTTTTCTCTTTAGGGCTTCATCCACAATTACTACTAGGGCTATGTTGAACGTTTACTTCTCTTAAATGTTAGTGAATCTTGTCTCAAAGCGTGCGCAATTGAGGTCAACCAAATGTGTTACCTAATGTGGCCTGTTTTGAAGAGCTGGGTCACTTTGAGACACATCCTGCCGCATCACTACCCTGGGGTGCCCCAACAGCGGGGTGCCGCTTGGGAGACAAGTCAAGATGACTTTTAGCAGGATGTGCATGCCGTATCAAAAAAAAAAACCTCTGCCTTATGTTGCAATGTTTCCCACAGTTTTATACATTTACCAGGTGTCTTAATAACAGGTCAGTGATATGCTTTTATCAAAATACCCAAGGAACTATACTCAATATAATGGCAAAAAAAAAAAAATCTAATTTGAAAAAAACAAAAAGGACCCCCCATTGACTGTACTTATACTTTTTTTTTAAGGTACCCGAGTATGCTCACCTGACCCTTTGTTGATGTGCTGAGCTCTGTCTTGTCATGCTGGATGTCGCGCAGGACAAGACGGTTGTAAGAGGGGCCGGCTTGCACCGTGCTGACGACGGGGCGGGGTACCGAGGCGGGCTGTATGTTGGTGCTAGCAGAAGCGATGCTCCCCTGGTGCGGCCCTATAGACCGGTGGGCTTCACCGCTGTAGGCAGCCTGATAGCTGGTCTCAGGTGGGAGGTTTTGGGATTCCACAGGTTGTTTCCTGCCACTTTTCACCCATGGCCTGCACTCTTGTCTGAGGGAAGAGCAATACATCAAAAGGTGATTAAGCCCCAATAACGTTCAGCTGTTCTAGTAGGCTTTTCCTGTCTGTTTTGTTTTGTTGCTTTTAATCTAAAGTTTGACGTTTTTCAGCTAACATTACTATTTGGAACAACTGATAACCGCTAATTGAGATGAAATGTAACCCTTCCAGAGGTGTTCTAGGGTAGACATTGAATGAACGGAGACAACAAAACAAAACAAAAAACTTATGCTAGTGCAAAGGCACTCACCAGGCAGATTAGCCAACAAGTTAGCCAGTGAACAGGAAGCCTAAGACTTACACTCTCATTCGCTGACCTCCACGTCATTCAACAGGACAGGCTCCGCCTTTGAAAGCCGCATACATTCAAAGTCACAGATACTACAGTGTAGAACGTGAGAATGGTGACCCCAAGTGGATGAAGGTAATATTTGCACCTCACCTCACATCTATATATTTTTTGTGATACAATGTATAAAGCTTTAACATATAGATAAATAATAACAAAAGTATAGTGGTCATTACGTTGCAGATTTTCATCTATTTGTTGCTTTGCGCACTGTGTCACAGTCACTGTGGAACGAAAAAGGGAACTTCCCCGAACCGGTTTCGCAACATTGGAAATATAAATTTTGCTTAAGATGTCGATGTAAGATGTCAAATCATGAAAGTCAACTTCAGGGGAAACTAATATATCTAAATCACGTTCACAGTACTACACTGACAGTTATTTCACATTTCATTGGGGTGGTCAGGGGAAGAGAATACAATCTCCTCTAAATCTCTACAAAAAGTAACGGACCCAACGTAAAATATACGTCACATTGCATGGACAGCGCTTTGACTGAAAGTTACCTGCAGACGCTCCCCCTGTCCTCCTCTTTCACCTCCAACCTTCCCCCTGGGCTGCTCCCATTACTGATCCAAGGGTAGTGGTCCTTCTTGGGAATGGGCCAGGGTTTAAAGTCCTGCTTGTACTGCGTGACACTGGGGAAAGGCACCCCCGGAGGTTGGTAGTCCTCCCGGGGCTTGTAGCTGGGCTCCCTGCGCGCCCTAAATGAGCCTCGGGTGGGGGAGTCGCCGGCAATTCGCGGTCCGGGGACAGAGGTGGGGCACGATACCTGCTTGGTGACGGATCGCACCTCCTGCTCGGATATGTCCGAGTAGTTTTGGATGGTGAGCGGCACGGAAAGGTCGGATTTGTCGAATTGGTTCCAGAACCGAGCCAAGCAACACACTCTGCTGATGCACGGCCAAGCCATAGCCGCCCTTCCCCAAATATTTTTCACTTGAGCAGGGATAAAACAAAAATAACAAAGAACGGTTAAAGACAAAGCATTCAAAATGAGAGTGTTGCTCCTTGTCGGTCCGCTTGTGGGATTCTGAGAGGGTCCATGTGACAGCAGGGATCAAGTGCTCCTCTGACGTGCTCTCATATAATGCCTCCACTCTGGCGATGGATCCGTGCAAAAATATGCTCCTCATTCCATCTCCGACATTCAAATGGAAGGATTTTCTCCCCACTTTTGGTCACATGCCCCATTCCAGCCTTGGAGTCCACTCGGTGATAAATCAGTCTTGCACCTGAAATTGTCTTCTGCATCTCCTCACGTTACATAATTGTGATGCAGCGTCGATCGAGCATGAAGAGCAGAAAACATACAGCAACCCCTACCAAAGGAAAAAAAAACATCTCCGACATTCAAATGGAAGGATTTTCTCCCCACTTTTGGTCACATGCCCCATTCCAGCCTTGGAGTCCACTCGGTGATAAATCAGTCTTGCACCTGAAATTGTCTTCTGCATCTCCTCACGTTACATAATTGTGATGCAGCGTCGATCGAGCATGAAGAGCAGAAAACATACAGCAACCCCTACCAAAGGAAAAAAAAACCTGAAAAAGTAACAGAATGAGGAGTATATTACTTAATTTAAGAAAAATGATTTCCTGATAGAAGACGACAATTGCAGGCTACTTGGCAAGTAAATGGAAAGTTAACGTAGCAGTGCGCCCCCTACAAAAAAATCAAACGTAGACTATATTACTCCTAGTAGACCACTACATACAACTTCGACAGAATTATTTATTTTAAGATAAACTTACAAGATAAATAAGAAGTTATACTTTCTTTTATTTTTTATTTATTTTCGGAAAAAAAGGCTTGAAGTAAATGAAATGCTTTTACTCATGAAAATTACCTGATAGAAGTCAAAATATTTCAGCAGGTAAATATTTTTCGAACGATTAGATTTTATTGTTTGAAATGCAATAAAGGGATAAATGGAAGACTGGTTCTGTGTCAAATGCTTGCTACTGTAAAAAAAAAAAACAGTCAATTGAAGACTCTAAAATGTCCTAAACTCGCAGCAAGTATTGTTATTAACAACATATTGTATTATTATTTATCGGGGAAGTCAACCCTAAAAAATTCCTTCCAATAATGTATAAATACACTCGTTTTTAGCCATCTTAGGGGGGCGGCCATTTTGCCACTTTCTGTCAGGTAAAGATGACCTCACAGTTGCCCACGACATACCTGTTTTCTGAAGCTGCGCTGTGAGTGGTTGTTACCTATTCCAAATACACAATATTAATCAAAATGCCGTGTTTATACTAGTGGGGCTACAAAGAACCTATCTTTTATCGACAAATTTTATGTTGACTTCCCGTTTAAGGTACAGATGCCGTAAAGGTCAAATCATAAAGTAAATGTTTTGTTGTGCATGATTACCATCTAGTGGAGAGAAATGGTCAAACTTTTAAATGAGAATGAATGTCTGCTCAAAACTTTTGACTCCCAATTTTTTCTTCTGACAACATTCATGGACACGAGGATGAAACCAAATGGCTTTGATGAGGAGATGACCTTTCCTGTAGCGCCAACATCAGGTCAAACTTTTAGTTTTAGACTTAGGGTATGTTGATTTCTAATTTGGGGTGTGCATTCATGACACCCACAAAACAAAGCAGATTGATTCATGTTGGGACCCTCCTCTCCCCTCATGAACACGTTTACTTATTTTGATCTCCTGTGTTTGGGGTCACATATTTGTCTCACTCATAAAGTCTCACTCACCCTTCCTCTTTAGTTATCAGGGTTTGAGACTGGCAGTGGCAGTTTTTTTTTTGTTTTGTTTTTGCGGTGGGTTGGGGATTCTGTGTGCATGAGATGCTTGCCACGTTTCTTGCCCGTGGTTTGTACCAAGGGAGGAGTTGGGGTGTTTGTCCCCATGTGTATGTGCCTCACAATGGCTGCAGCAGCTGCCGATCCCCTTGG